AAAATTCTGGTCCCGTCAATGGGTATTCTTGATATCCCGGCCTAAGCTTAACTAGTCTCGTCCTCGATTCACACAACCTACCTCCTGAAAACACAAACACGAAGAAAACACGAAGCAAAACACAGCAAAAAAGACGCACAAAACGAACTAAAGAGAAAAACGGAAAAATCACAGAATTGGATCAAATAAATTACGAAAATTCTATAAGTGGGGAAAAATAAAGAGAAAATAAAGCGAAAATGAAGACACAAAAATGGGACAAACAACTCCCCCACACTAAAACTTTTGTTCGTCCCGAACAAAAAGAAAAGAAAAGAAAAGAAAACAAATAAATGATCAGGGACAACGGTTCAAGCAAAACCAATCTCAAACGTATCAATAGAACTGAGAAGAATTCCAATGATCACAAGAACACACCTCAATTATCAACCCAGCAATTTCGAAGAACAACGACTCTCGAGTACAAATATGTATATGCCTCACTTAGTTTCTTCGCAATATATAAGAAAGGTGCACTCAAATTGGTCATCAGTCAAGTCGATCATAGATTTGCCTATCGACTAACTTCTACTCTAAAACAATCAAATTTATAAAACAATGAATCAAGAGGTCTTTAAGGGTTGTAATGTAGGCTCTTTGGACAGGGTATGAAACATATAGGCTAAGTGGCTCAAAATAAATCAACTCAACCTTGCACCCAACCATATCAACAAACACCTCCAGTTGTCACCAACCGGCTCCTCCCACCAACTCCAAGACCAACATACATCCCGATTTTTTTCTACTACATTTTTTTTTTCGAAAACCATTTGGAAAACTTATCTAGGTTTAACCTTCGAGTTTTCTGCTCGAGTCTCCTAGACCGGTTTCCCGTACTCATGGCTCGTATCCACTAAGTTAGTGAACGGAGCGCTAGGAGTATAATCCATTTGGCTTCGTCATTTTCATTTTTTTTTAATTTTTTTTTTTAGAAACAACTAAACATATATACAATGCAATCAACTATCACCTCCAACAATCAACCCGCAACTCAATATCATCATCACGAGGCTAACCAATAAAATCGATCAAGGCTCAAAGGTGGTAACTAGTGACTGTTATGCACGAAAATGAAAAGGAAAAGGATAATACAAGAAATGCCTCAATCATATTCATGTTTCACAAATCTAATCGAGTTATTTCACAGCAGTCTCAAGGCAAATTCTACTTGACAAGATTCTGACCAATATCACACGAAAAACAATAAAGGCTCAAACCTCACAAGGTAAATATGTTCCTCAAAATAACCAAGCCAATAAATCAAAATGCATTACTCGATCACATCATCACAACTTCTCAAATTCAACCAACAGTTTTCAAGCAGTCTTACTATACACCATAATTCAAGTTCAGAAACAAATAAAAACCTAAAACTAGACTGGTCCACCACACAAAAGAAAGAAATAAAACAACCTAAAAAGAGAAACTAGACCTGGTCAACCAAATAGCCACATA